TAACCGTTTGCGTACCAGAGGGTTTTGAAAAAACACGATCGACAAACGCCAAGGAGCGCGATCGCGCTCCTTCTATTATGTGTCGAAAAAAGCCGAAGAGCGCGATAGCGCTTGTCACAATGCGGTAAATAATCGGGCCACGCTTCTCGTGTTTGTTTTTTCTATTTCTATACCATCATTCTTTATGCAAGCGGCAGAAAGAACGGAGTGTTATAAAAGAGTAGTGTTATAAAAGTGCGATCATCATAACCGTGTCTTTGTAGAAATTATTAGACGAAATAAAGCAGAAGGTAAGTGTGSTGTTAGCTGAGGTTCATTGAGTAATTTTTAAAATTAATTTATTTWAACCCTAAGGAGCTATAATGAGCCGGAAAACTAAAATTACAAGCATACACGAAAATCCAAGTTACCCATGTGACACCGATGATTCTGACATCATTCCTGTTAGGAAGAGCAAGAAACGTATATTCAGTAGCTCGGAGAGTGATAACGATTTTTCGACACACGATAATTCATCTGCAGAGGACTTGYTYAGAAAACCCGAAGAAAATATCGACAATTTTGAAGCTGAATGCAATTTTCCTGATTGGAGCAAACCGATTCATTATTTTGACCTCTTTTTTGATTCAGAACTATTGTCACTAATGGTTATCGAGACTAATAATTACGCGGAATATTCGAGGAGTCTTTTTGAACCATCAGATTTGTCTAAACTACCGAAATGGACACCAGTTACTGAATTGGAGTTGAAAGCATTCATAGCAATGATTCTAGAAATGGGCATCACAAGAAGACCCAGTATAACTTCATATTGGAGCAAAAATTCACGGCAGATACCATGGTTCAAGAAAATGTTTTCAARAAATAGGTTTCAAGAAATTTTAAAGTATTTTCATTTGGTAGATAGTTCTTTGTGTTTTTCACCTAGTCATCCTAATTACGATCCCTGTGTGAGATTTGAACCCCTTGTTAAACACGCTAACAGAGTTTTTAAATTATATTATACGCCTCACAAGGAATTATCAATCGACGAATCCTTAGTTAGGACGTTATGTCATTCGAGTATAACTCAATATTTGCCAAACAAAAAACATCATCGCTGGGGCATAAAATTTTGGATGTTATGCGATGCCATTTCGAAATATTGTTTAACATTTTATTGTTACAAGGGCGCAAAATCAAGAAATAATAGTGACAATAATACGTTTGGACTAGGATATAATGTCGTGATTAATTTATTAAATGAAAGTAATTGTCTACATCAAGGATATCACGTTTTTGTTGACAACTTTTTTAGTAGTATTGAATTAGCAAGATATTTATATTCCAACAATACTTATTTAACCGGAACTATCAGACGAAATAAAAAATGTATTCCCGATCATTTAAAAACAGTTAATGTAAATGAACCGAAATATTTCAAAGATAATAATGTGCTCCTTTGTGCGTATCGTGAAAAGAAAAGCGTAAAGAAACCAGTAATACTGATTTCAACTAAATGTGAAGAAAAAAATTTGACGATAACAAAGAAAAAACACGGTAGAGAATGGCATTCAACAAAACCTGCTATYATTCACTCGTATAATACCTTCATGGGGGGTGTAGACGAATCTGATAAAATGTTATACGCATATCTTGATGAACGTAGAACTGTAAAATATTGGAAAAAAGTTGCTTTCAATATCATGAATCGCRTGGTTTTGAATGCTTATATTATTTATAAAAAAAATGCGAATAATAGAGCAATGACCCGGTTAGATTTTATTTCGCGAATTATTTTTGATATTGGGCGTGAATGGATGAAAGAGAAGAGGGTACGAGTTTTTCAACGTGATTTTTTAGACGAAAATAGGCCACGTTTAGTGAAGTTGCCACAACGCAACTTACGGAATTGCGTAGTGTGTAGCACTAAAAATAAGAGAAAAAGATCRCATCTGATTTGTGTACAATGTGAAAAGGGAGTTCATCCAACCTGTTATCATAAACATCAATGTTTTACATAGTAAAAGTTATTTCCAATAAAATATTATTTGTTTTTCAATTTTTTCATATTTTTAATTTATAACATATTTTACAAAAAA